AGTCTGTGCAAGTACTGTTGCATCCGCAACCCTGACTCACGGATCCCTGTTCTCTTGGATTCTCAAGTGGCACTAGGCGCGGCCGCCCACGGTCGGAGCAGCAGCCCTGGCCTTTCGCATGTGTTGAGCACCTCCTTGCCGTACATTTTGGGGGGCGGGCTCTACATGGGCGGGCTCTATGTTCCGACCGACGTCCACCGAGCGGACGACCCCACGCGCAATCGCCCTGTTCGCCCCCCCTCGCGTGTCGAGCCTGCTTGGTTGCTTGACATCGACGAGGGGCGCTTTGAGCGATTCGACATGATAGCGGCCGCCGACGCCGCATCCGCCTACCCGACTTGTCTGTGGGGCCGGTTCGTGCTGCAAGTTCTGGCTCGCAGCCCCGCCGCGGGCGCGGGCCCGCTCGGGCTCCCCGCGGATCGCCACGTGCGAGCGCCAGCCCAGGTCGACAGGGGAGACGCGACGGCCTCCGCCGAGGCCCGCGGCGCATATGAAAGCGCCGCGCCGCGCAGGGGGACTCCCTTTTCCGTCGAGGTGCCCTCGAGCGCGGCAGCGGTGAGCTTCTCCGCGTCGCGATGCACTCGCGCCCGTGACAGCCTGCCGGCCGCCCCTCGGGTACCAAGCCCTTCGCCGTCCCCACCGGTAGGCATGCGCCTCTCCAGCGATGCTGTTACGGCCCCGCAGGGAGGAGTTCGTGCCGCCGGCGGGGGACCAGGAGAGGGTGCGCCCGAGCGGAGGTCACGCGCCAAGTGCGACGCAATCGCCGCTGCTCGACCTGGTTCGCCTGCGGGGGACACTCACCCCGTCTCGCTTCTGTCGAAGGCAACCGGCTCGGCTCCCGCTTCGTTGGGGGGTCTTCTGGGTCGTCCACCCGTCACGATTCAGACTCGCCACCGCCGAGCTCGTGCCGCCAAACTTGCTGCTGCGCACGGCCTGCTCCACCTGGAGCGCGGTGCGACCACTGATCGCGTGAACGCTCAGTTTCGACGGCTGGGTTGGGCCTGCCATCCCGGCCGCGATACGTCGATCGAGGCCAGCAGGAAATGGCGTGCTCTCTGTGACGCCAAAGCCTTCATCCTCGGGCCTGGGCGCGATGTGGTTGGCTCCGATGCCCCGGCCTCTGGCGGCGCTACTCGCCGTGCTTCAGGCGGAGGGCTCTTGGCGGCGGGAAGGCGTGACGACACGAACCGCTCGCGCGGGGTCACCACTCGGGATTCGGCTCTCGACGCCTCCCTTGGTGCTCGCCCCCGCGGCGTGCCGGGGGAGCGTCGGAACGCCCATGGTGCGTATCCAAACGCAGAGCCGAGCGCGGTCGCTAGCTGGTGCGATTCAGGGTCGCGGGCTGCGCCACGTTGCGCAGTGCAGACCCCCGCGATGCCCACTGCCGCCATGCGACGCACGCAAGCTCGCCTGGAGGCCGACCTGAGGGCCGCCCATACCGCGGTCGCGGCGCTCCCGTCCTTTCGAGCCAGCACCTTGCCCCCCTTGCCAGGGTGCCGCACCGACGCCCATAGCGTCGCGCCGCGCGCCAGCTCTGCGCCTGCCCTGCTGGCCGGGCGCTCGCAGGGCGCAGCGGTTATGCTGCGTGCTACCCGCGAGCGGGCTGCCATTGCGGCCACCGCCGGGGCGGCACAACCCAGAGCCGTGCTTCCGTGGGGCCACAGCGCAGCACGCAGCGAGGTGTCGCCGGTTCCCAGCCTTCCCGACTCCTGCTGCGCCGACAAGCGTGCCGACTCCTGCGACGCCCAGCTCACCGAGTCCCGCGGCGACCAGCTCACTGACTGTCATCCCTCCCAGCTCACCGACTTTCGCACCGACCAGCTCGCTGACTCCCGCGTCGACCAGATCGCCGACTCGCGTGCCGAGGGGCTCGCCGACGCCCGTGCCGTCCAGCGCGCTGACGCCTTCACTTGGTCCGACTCCCGTGCCGATCCGCTCACCGGGTTAGCACTGCGCACCGGCCGGGTCGTGGGCCCGACGACCACGGTTGCGAAGCGCGTGCGGGACGAACGGCGCGCTTTGGCACGGTTCCGCGCCTCGGTCGATGCTTGCGACGCCGCCCTTACCGAAGTTGAATTCGGTCGAGGCGCGGAGGCTGGGGGCCCAAGTCCGGTTGAGCTTTTGCAGTCGTCCTTGGCCGAGCTCGAGCGCCAGAAGGCGGCGTTGCGCATCGCCCGCTCTCGCACTGCCGAATGCATCAGAGGTTGCGTTTCCGCTTCGGGCTTTTCGGGTGGAGGCGCCGCCGCAGCCGATGCCGGCGCGCCCCTGAGTGCTCCCACCACGGCCGGTAGCGCTACGCACCGCCAATCGGGAGTCGCGCCGAGCACCGGCGATGTCAGCGAGGCCCCCCGCGCCGAACAGCGCAAACGCAGGCGTGTTCGGGCGCTCGCCGGAGCGGCAGCTACCACTCCGGCCAATTCGTCTGGTCGCGAGCCGCCCGCGCCAGCCTTCGTGGCAGGGCGCCAGGAGTGGCCTGCCTCTCTGTCGCCTGCGTTTCCCGAGGGGGCTTCCGAGGCCCTCGGGGTGCAGGTGGACAGCCACTGTCGGCTCGTCCCCTCTTGCGACGACCAGCGCACTCGTTCGCTTAAAGCGTTTGACGTGTGGTGCGTCGAGCACACAGGTGTGGCACTTGCCACTTGGGCCCGCAGCGGCATCTTGCTCGGGAGAGCGCTCGCGACCTTCGGCGTGTGGTTGTACGATGCTGGCCTCCCCCGCCTCGTCCTTGTGAATGCGATCCGGGGAGCGCAGGCTCTTCAGCCCCAGTGGAGGGGCGTCCTCACCGAGGCGTGGGATGTGGCAAAACGGTGGATCCCTTCCAAGCCTCCCTGTCCCATCCCACCGCTGCCACGTGCTTTGCTGCGCGCCATGGTAGCGTTGTGCCTCGCATGGGACTGGCCTGATATGGCCACCCTGCTGCTTGCCGTGTTCACTATGTCCGTGAGGCCTGGTGAGTTGGCATCCGCCCGCCGGAGCGACCTCACTCTGCCCATTGACCGCCGTGAGTCCGCGGGCGACGCTTTGCTGAGCATCTCTGTTCCGGAGGCCCAGGGGTCGGGCGGAGAGCGTCAACACGCTCGGTGCTCCGACCGAGCAGTGGTCAGGATGATGGAGCTGGTCTTCAGAGATTTGACTCCCACCGATCCCCTGTTGACCTTCGGTCAAAGCGGCTTCCGTACTCGGTGGCTCGATCTTCTTTCGGCGCTGGGCGTCCCGCTCGCCAGAGCGCCATCGGGGTTCGATCTGTCCCCTGCGCTGCGCTTCAGAACCGATATTTCGGACGGCATTACTCGCGTCTTCTGGCGTGATCGCTGGCGGCAAGCTTCCAGTACGGAGCGATATCTTTACGATGTTGCCGCCTCTGCAGTCCTCCCATCATTGGCTGAAGCTGCTCGGGACCGTGTTTCTTACCTCGCCGACTCCAGCGACTTCCTCGTCGCATCCTTTCTGAATGTTGGCCCGGCTGTGTGGCCCATTCAGCTCGCGGCCGCCCGCCGAAACCTTGTCACTTCGCAAGGGCTTTGAGCCTGGGTGTGGCTGCTGCGGCCTCCCTTGGCCGCCCGGGTGCCCTCGTTGAACGAGGCCGCCTGAGAGCGTCGCACGGCCCGCCCGCGTAGGCCTGTCCCGCCTTACGGGCCGCCGCGGGCGCGCGCCGCGCGTTCGCCCTGAGACGACTGCTCACTTGCGCAGCGTGCGGGGATGCTTCTTCTTATCCCCATCGCGCCCGCTGATTGCAGTCGTCTGCAGCTTCTCGGCCCCCTCCCTCTCTCCTCCCTCCTTCTTCGAAGGCTGACCTGCGGCGCTGCTGCGGCCTCCCTTGGCCGCCCGGGTGCCCTCGTTGAACGAGGCCGCCTGAGAGCGTCGCACGGCCCGCCCGCGTAGGCCTGTCCCGCCTTACGGGCCGCCGCGGGCGCGCGCCGCGCGTTCGCCCTGAGACGACTGCTCACTTGCGCAGCGTGCGGGGATGATGATGATGATGATGATGATGGTGATGATGATGATGATGATGATGACGATGATGATGATGATGATGATGATGGTGATGATGATGATGATGATGATGATGATGATGATGATGATGATGATGATGATGATGATGATGATGATGATGATGATCATGATGATGACGACGACGACGATGCCGATGCCGACGATGCCGAGAGGAGGATGAGGAGTATGAGGGAGAAGGGGAGAGATGGGAGGAGAGAGCAGGGAGGATGGCAGAGCCGCGCTTTCTCCCTCGACTGTCCAACTACTAGTCTGGCCTCGCGCCGCGGACGACCCGCGCGCGTCGCTGGGACCCTCTCGGGGCGACCAGCGTGCGTCGTGGGAACTCCGTGCTGCGTCCTGCCCAGCGCCTCGCTCGCCCGTCGTCGCTATGCCTAGCGACCAGAGCCTTGCCCGCTGTCAGCCAGCCAGCTAGCTCTTTTTGCTCCGCGCAGCGGACGACCCGCGCGCGTCGCTGGGACCCCTCCAGGGCGACCTGCGCGCGTCGCGGGGACTCCGCGCTGCGCTGCGTCCGCAGCTTTGGATTTTTGGAGTGCGCAGGCAAAGAGGGAGGAAACTAAGGGACGGAAGCGGGTGCGATCCTCGTGAGGGGCGTGCCGGCATGGGCGTCGCGGCGCGCGGGCGCTGCTGTCGGGGTTCCTGCGGAAGCTGCCTGCGGCGGCCACGCTCAATGTCACGAGTGGTCGGACAGGCATGCCCGAACCATTCACATTCGTATACATTTACATTAGGCGTAGCCATGATCGCACCCACGCAAGTATATTCAGTCTCGCGCAAACTCATTCACACTCAGGCTCCGTCACGCTCTGACTCACCCGCGTTCAGTCTCTCGTATTTCGACCTGCCGTATTCCTTTGCGTTGTGTACCCCGCCACAGATTGGCACACCTCTCATACGGTTCGTGGCCCCATAGGGAGCGCCACCGAATAAGACATTCACAATTGCGGTACTCGCAACTGCATATGGTTGGGTTTTTCGCCAGGCTAATTTTTAGAGTGAAGTGGCTCGCGGGCGCCTTCCACTGCCCGTTTCTTATTATTCATTCGAGCGAAGCGGCTCCAGGGTTCCAAGACGGCCCCAGAAGGCTCCTAAACGGCCCAAGAGGGCCAAGACTGCCCCAAGAGAGCTTCAGATGGTTTCCAGACGGTCCAAGAGAGCCTCCAGGTGGCTCCAGAGAGACCCTCCAGAGGGCCCCCGAGGGGGCTTGAGGAGGCCAAAAACATTGATTTCCATATGGTTTTTGTACGTTTTTCGGGTTCTTTCCTTCTCGGGTCCAGAAGGGCCACACGGCCCAATAGGCCCCAAATATCGTCCCAAAACAGCTCCAGAGGCCCCCCCAAGGGGCCCAAAACGGTTCAAGACGGGCCCAAGACGGCCCAAAAGGCCCAAAGATCGCCCCAAGGCGGCCCCAGAGGCCCCCTAAAGGGGCCGAAAACTGTCCAAGAGGGCCCCCAGACGGCCCAAGAGGGCCCCAAGACGGCTTCAGCTTGTCTCGAAACGGTGCAAGACTCTCCAAAGACGCCCGAAGGTGGCTCCAAGGCGGCCCAAGAGGCCCGAAAGACGTTCCGAGAGGGCCCCGAGAGGGCGCCAAAGAGGCACACATCGTCAAACTCTTATGGGAAAACGTACATATTCAGCATATCCGCCTTTTCTGTTGTTACGCGGTCCAAGACAGGCCAAGAGGCCCCCCAAATCGCCCCAAGACGACCCATGCGGCCCTCAAGAGGGCCCCATGACTGCCCAAGAGGGCCCCAAAACGGCCCAAGGGGGCTCCCTAACGGCCCAAGAGGGTCCCAAGACGGCCCCATGAGAGCTCCAAGAGGCCCCCAAGAGTCTCCCGAGCGGGCCCCAAGAGGCCGCCAAGAGAGCCCCAAGACGGTCCAAGGCCTCCTAGACGCCCCTAGACGGCCCAAAAGGGCCTCAAGACGTCCCAAAAGGGCCCCCAAACTATCATAAAGGGCCCCCCGAAGGGCCCCAAATCGACTCCCAAGAATGCCCAGAAACGCCAAATAAAAGAGCGATCGGTAACGCAACAAGCTCTTTACACCAAGGCTCCCAACAGCGAACGGTGACGTGACAAACTCGTAACACCAAGGCTCCCAAGAGCGAACGGTGACGTAAACAACTCTCAACACCACTGCTCCCAAGAGCGAGCGGCAACCTAAAACTCTCTGAACACTAAGGCTCCCAAGAGCGAGCGGTGACGTGACAAGCTCCTTCCACCAAGGCTCCCAATAGCGAATGGTGCCGTGAGCCATCTCGGGCAAATTCTTGGTCTGCTCTTTCCGTTCCCGTGCCGGCCCAGTAACGGAAAGAGCGAGGTACGAATGATGACGTTCTGGTGGGGCGAAGCCCCCTTAGGGAGGGGTCCAGGGGAGGGGTGCGGGGGGAGCGCCTGGGTGGTAATGGCCGCTGGGGGGCTGTTTCCTTCATATTGGAGAGGCCTGACGGCCGGTGCCGCCGACCCTGATCGAAAGGGCTAGGAGTAGGGGGAGGAAGCGGAGGAGGAGGAGGAGGAGGAGGAGGAGGAGGAGGGGAGGAGGAGGAGGCAGGAGGAGGGGGAGGAGGAGGGGGAGGAGGAGGAGAAAGGGGGAGGAGCAGGAGGAGGAGGAGGATGAGGATGAGGAGGAGAGGAGAAGGAGGAGGAGGAGGAGGAGAGGAGGAGGAGAGGAGGAGGAAGAGAGATGGAGGAGGAGGAGGAGGGGGAGGAGGAGGAGGAGTGAGAGGAGGTGAGAAGTGCGCCATCCTTTGTGTGCCCGGGACGTGCTCCCGGAAGAGGAAGAAGTGCATCTCGGGCGTGCCCGCTCGAGGAAAATGCGCCCTAGGGGGGTGGTATTTTGACTCGGGGCCCGCTCCCGGGACGCCTCTGCGGGAGGAGGAGGAGGAGGAGGAGGAGGAGAAGGAGGAGAGGAGCAGGAGGAGGAGGAGGAGGAGGAGGAGGAGGAGGAGGAGGAGGAGGAGGAGGAGGAGGAGGACCAGGAGGAGGAGGAGGAAGTGCATCCCGTGCGTGCCCGCTCGAGGAAAGTGCGCCCCGGCGGGCGTCGTATCTGCCCCGGGCCCCCCCCCCCTCCCCCCCCCCCTGCGGGGAAGGGATCAAAGGGAAGGGGCTTCCCTTCGACTCCACTACGACGTCGTTTAATTTCGCTTTGGATAGCGCGCTTGAGGAGGAGAGCCCTGGGAGGGGGAGAACGGAGACGACGGAGACGACGAGTCGAACGGAGAAGCCCCTCACACACGCCGACAGGGTCGGCGAATTTTTTAGAGTGAAGTGGCTCCCGGGCGCCTTCCACTGCCCGTTTCCTATTATTTTTCGAGTGAAGCGGCTCCAGGGTTCCAAGACGGCCCTAGAGGGCCCCTGAACGACCCAAAGACGGCCCCAAGGGAGCTTCGACTGGCCTGGTCCAAGAGAGCCTCGAGACGGCTCCAGAGACTCTCCAGAGGGTCCTCGACAGGGCCTCAGGAGCCCAATTATCTTGGCGAAGGACCCAGCCATATGCAGTTGTGAGTAACGCGTTGTGGGTGCCGCTTTCGGTGGAGCTCCCTATGGGGCCCCGAAGCGCGTGAGGAACGTGCCGTAGTGTGTGTGTGTGTGTGTGTGTGTGTGTGTGTGTGTGTGTGTGTGTGTGTGGAAACGCATGCGGGCGGTGCCACTGGGGCCTTCAGTGTAGCTCTCTATGGAGCCACGAAGCGCTGTACTGGGTGGTGGACGATGCATGCGGGCGGTGCCCCTCGCTGGAGCTCCCGATGAGGTCACGAAACGCTGTATTGGTTGGGAAAAGTGCCACTGGGGGAGCTCTCTATTGGGCCACGAAGCGCTGTGCTGGGTGGTGGCCGACGCATGCAGGCGGTGACAGGGGGGGCTTTGGTGGAGCTCCTTACGGGGCCAGAATTGCTCCAAAAGGGTGCCCAGGGGGCTCCAGAAGGGCCCCAAGAAGACACCGACGAGGCCCAAGAGACGCTCAAGAACATCATGGCTCCCATCAGCGAGCGGTGACGTAAAACACTCATGACACCAAGGCTCCCCAGAGCGCGGTGACGAAAAGAGCTCGTCACACCAAGGCTCCCAAGAGCGAGCGGCTACGTAACAGTCTCTGAACACCAGGGCTCCCAACGGAGACGGCGACGTCACAAGCTCTTCATATTAAGGCTCTCAAGAGCGAAGGGTGCCGTGAGCTCGGGCAAGTTCCTGAGGCGCTGTTTCCGTTTCTGTGCTGGCCCGGGTAACGGAAAGAGCTAGGTACGAGTGATGACGTTCAGGTGGGGCGAAGCTCTAAAGGGAGGGTTCCAGGGGGGTGGCGAAGGCTGAGGACATTGGTGGTAATGGCCGCCGGGGGGCCGTTTCCTTTGTATTTCTTCGAGTGAAGCGGCTCGCGGGCGCCTTCCACGGTCCGTTTCCTCGTATTTTTTCAATTGAAGCGGCTCAAGGGCCCCAAGACGGCCCAAGAGGGCACCAAAACGACCGAAAGACGGCCCCAAGAGAGCTTCGGGTGGCCTCCAGACGGTCCAAGAGAGCTTCGAGACGGCTCCAGAGATCCTCCAGAGGGCCCTCGAGATGGCCTCAGGAGCCCAAGAACATTGATTCCCCACGGGTTTTTCAAGGTTTTTCTGGTTCTCGCCTTTTCGGGGCTAGACGGGCCCAAATCGGCCCAAGAGGCTCCAAAGATCGCCCCAAGACGGCCCAAGCCCCCCAAAGGGGCCGAAAACAGACCAAGGGGGGCCCCAGACGGCCCTAGAGAAGCCCAAACCGGCCCATGAGGGCCCGAAGACGGCCCCAGAGGGCCCCAAGAGGCTCCCAAGAGGCTCCCAAGAGGGCTCCACGAGGCCGCCAAGAGAGCCCCAAGACGCCCCAAGACGGCCCAAAAGGGCTCTAAGACGGCCCAGAAAGGCCCCAAAACGGCCCAAAAGGGTCCCCCGAAGGGCCCCCAAAAGCCACTCAAGAAGGCCCAGAGACGCCAAATAAAAGAGCGCGGTGACGTAAAAAGCTCTTCACACCAAGGTTTCCAACAGCGAACGGTGACGTGACAAACTCGTAACACCAAGGCTCCCAAGAGCGAACAGTGACGTAAACAACTCTCAACACCAAGGCTCCCAAGAGCGCGAGCGGTGACGTAACAAGCTCTTACCACCAAGGCTCCCAAGAGCGAAGGGTGCCGTGAGCCCTCTCGTGCAAGTTCCTGTTCAGTTTCCGTGCCGGTCCCGCCACCGTGCTTGGGTTCTGGGCTTGAGGCGTATTGGATGCATACTAGTGTATGTCGGGATGCCTCTCGCGGGCCTCTTGGAGGCGTCTTGGGGGCGGGGGGGCCTCTTCGGGGCCACTTGGGGCCTTTTGGGGCGCCTCGAGGGCTTCTGGGGGGACTTGGGGCCATCTTGGGGCCGAAGGCTTGAAACATTTGTTCGGGTCCCCCCTCTGGGCCCCCTCTTAGGGCTGTCTTTGAAGCCTCCTGGGCCGTCTTGGGGGCCCCTTGGGCCGACTTGACACCCCCCTGGGCCGTCTTGGGGCCCTCTTGGAGGCCTCTTTGGGCCGTCCTGGAGCGGTACTGGGGGTCTCTTGAGCCGTCTTGGAGCGTCGGGAAGCCAAAAAGGCGAGAAGGCCAACCTCCTGCAACAAGAATTCGAAGACACAGTATTGTTGCCTCTGTGGCCTCTCGGGAAGCCTCTTGGAGGCTTCTTGGGGTTTTTTGGAGGCGTCTTGGGCCGTCTGGGGGCCATCTGGAGCGACTTGGAACGATCGTTCGGCGACTCGGAGCCCTCTTGGACCGTCTTGGAGGCCTCCTGGGTCCCTCTTGGCCTGTCTTGGAGCCCTCTTGGCTCCGAACAAACACGCGAGAGGAGCGTGTGAGCCCAGGAGGCACGCGGGAAGCCATTAGATTTGAGAACTAGGGGTCCAGGCCCCTTACAGAGTCTTCTGGATGCAGGCCTGAGGTTCAGGGGATGAGGCAGCGGACCTGAGAACACACGCCACGCGCCACTGGCGCGCCCACAGAGGCAAGGCCACCAGCACGCCTACCTCTTTGCACCTCTACCTGAGGACACAACAGTTCGTGCCTCGTGGCGGGTTCTAGGCATGCTAGACCCCGAGATCCGCTTCGGGACTTCCAAGCGATTTGTTCAGGTACGGTGGAGTCGCCTATCGCGTGGTGGCCTCCCATGACTGCAGAGGGTGCATTTCGTTTTTGAAAGTGGAGGCGGCGCGGGCGGCCCGCGGTTTCCCCGCGACGAGACGTTCGTCGGCCGCGAGACCCTGGACCCCTTCCTCTCCGATCTTTATTCAATCGAGGCCCCTTTGCCGCGCAGTCGATCAGCCGATCCTCGCCCCGCGACCTCGCCACGCTGGGTGCGTGCGCCTTCATACCTCTCGAGAGGTGGGTCCGCGCGAGGCGCCTCGCCGTCGCGCTGGAAGGCCGGCCGCTCCACTGGCCAGCTGCGGCTGACGCCATGAAAAGGGAGGGAGGCGTGCCCCATTGCGAGCACTTGCGAACCCCACCCCTGCGGGTGCTGTCGACGCTGGGACGTCGGGCACCCCTGCTGGGATTCACCTGACTGCAGGCATCTCTCGAGTTCTCAAACCCGGCCGATCTTTCAGAAATCTTGCTTGCAGGCGTGGGTTTGGCATGTGGTTGCTTGTGTCCCAGACCCCAGGCCTTCCCCAGGGCCCGTTCTTCGCTCCGAGCTATTTTTGACGGTCCTGGGGCTCGTTTGAGGGCCCCAGCGGCTCCGAAATACGGCGAGCGGCTTCCAGGGCCCCATCTCCTCCAGGGGCCCGCTGCCTCCATGCTGAGGCCAGGGCAGCCCCCTGAGGGGCTGCGGCCGGGGGCTCCGCTGGCCGGCTGCGGCTGTGGCTGGCGGTGAGCCGCGGCCCGAGGCCGCGCATCGCAGGCTGCGCAGCGGAGGCCGCGGCCGAGGCTGCGGCTGGGTCCGCCCCGAGGGCTGCGGCTGGCTGGCTGCCGCTGCCCCTGGCCGGCCGCGGCCGGCGAGGAGCTGCGGCCCGGGGCCGCGCATCGGAGGCGGAAAGCCAGAGGCCGCGGTTGCGGCTGCTCCCTGGCGGCCCGAGGCTGCGGCTGGCCGGCCGCGGCTGGTTGGAGGGGAGGCGGAAGGGATCGGGCGGGCATGCTGGCCCTGCAGGCCCCACTTGCCATTTCGATCCGATCGATCCGATGCGATTTATCGATTCCAGCCGGCTCGGTCCGCTTCCATTCCGATCTTCTGATGCTCCGACGAGGCCGCGATGCTTGCACGGCGCCACTGTGCATCCCTGTGCGGCCGAGTCGATTGGAGTGCTGGTGCACCTCGATTCGAGGCACATTTCTATCCGATCCGATTTTCCGATTTGATGATGGTTGATCGTTCCTTGCTTTCGGAGTTGTTCTGTGTCGAGACTGTCCCTCGCCAGTCTCGCAGCCCAGGAGGCAGGCGGCACGTTGTCAGCTTGACTCCACGATCCTATTGTTCTCTGGATTCCCCGCGCCGTTCGTGACCGATGTGGGCCAGACAGCACGGCGAGTCGGTTTGAGCGCTCGCGACGAAAATGCCGAAACCACAGGGAGCGAGGCAGCATCGGAAGTGATGCGAGGAGCAGGGTGTAAGTTCAATTTCTGGCCCCGGGTTGCGGGGCATGGCGGCCTGGGCGAGCAGAGTTAAGACAGCGTGATTCGAGCAGCGGCTGTAGAATGTAGGATAGCATATTGGGAGGCAGGATGGAGGAGGGTTCGCACGTGAACAGCTCAATCGGATGGTGTCTTTTCGGGCGAAGCCTGTACATTACAGGTGAACTGTTTTTGGTCTCTGGTCCGAGCGTACGTGTTCGTCACGGCCTCTCCAACAAGTGAACAGTGATGTAACCGAGGACGGATCTTACTCGGTGAGCCGAGGCGTCAACTCATGGACCCTTTCCCCTAGCCATCGAATGGTGCTTCTGGCGGTCTCCTTGACCTTGGCCCGCTGTAGTCTGAGGATCGTCCCTCGCTCTAGTTTTGAAGCGTGCTTACGCCATGGCCACAGTTGCCACGGATTCTGCTCTGCTTTCTTTTCGCAGTCGTCGAAGCCATCTCGGGGATATAATGACATACACCTATCAACGTCCGAACGCGGTGATCAGCTTGGTACCAGATTCGGTACGAGATGCCTCAAAGGAATGACATTGTTGTTGCTCAGGGTGCCAGCAGCGCCATGGAGGATTCGAAGTATCCAGTGCTGCTCGTTGCACGTAGCATGCCAGGAGCCCAACCTGCCGGTATCTTGGCTCAAGGCAATGAGCCGCTCGTTCTTGCCCTCGCTCCTTGTCGCGCTCTCTCGCGCGCTCTCTCTCTCTCTCTCTCTTTCTTTCCCTCTTCCCTCTCTCTATATCCTTTCCCTCTCTCTCTCTCTCTCTCCCTCTCTCCCTCTCTCCCTCTCTCCCTTCTTCCCCTCCCTGCCTGTCTGTCTGCCTGTCTTGTCTGCCTTGTCTGTCTTGTGTGTCTTGTCTGTCTTGTCTGTCTTGCTTGGCTTGTCCATCTTGCCTGTCTTGCGCATCGTGTCTGTCTTGCCTGTCTTGTGCCTGCCTTGTGTCTGTCTTGCCAGTCTTGTCTTTCTTGTCTGTCTGTCGGTCTTGTCTTTCTTCTCTGTCTGTCTTTCTTGTCTGTCGTTCTTGTCTGTCTGTCTGTCTGTCTGTCTTTCTGTCTGTCTGTCTGTCTGTCTGTCTGTCTGTCTGTCTGTCTATCTGTCTGTCTGTCTGTCTGTCTGTCTGTGTATCTATTCGTCTCTCTCTCTCTCCGTCCTCTCGCTGTCTCTTTCGGGTGCGGGGAGGGGTGTGAACCTCCGCCTGTGAGCGGATCCGGGGACGTCAGCCGACCACCCCGCCGATCCTGAGGCTAGGCCCTCCGCCAGGCCAGGGATCTGTGCAGCATGCGCCCTCCTGGCTCGGCCAGGGAGGCGAGGTGGCCCGGGATCGGCCTGGCAAGGATCGGAGAGGTGGCCACCTGGCGCCCCCCCCGAGCGGAGAGATGGGCCAGCAGCTGCCCTCGGCCGCGGACGCCGCGGCCAGCTTCGCGGCGGGCGTCGCCGCCGCCACAGGAGGCGCCCCGCTGACAGCTCCTCCCGCAGACTCTTTCGGCCTAGTCGGGCTGCCGCGGGCGGTCTTGAGCACCCCCCGACTCCTCCCTTCCTCCCTCCGCCCTCCTCCCTTCCTCACCTCGAGCTGGTGGGAGGGGTCATCCTCGACGTGTTCGCAGAGTACGGCCTCCAGCTCAACCTTGACGCAGGCAAGGCGGAGGCCCTCCTGGCCTTCACAGGGAGAGGCTCCAAGGAGGCCAAGCGCAAGCTCTGGCGCCACCAGCGAGGCCAGCTCCAGCTTATCTCCACCTACTTTGAGCGCCCCATCGTGAGCGTCGTCACCACGCACGTGCAGCTCGGCACGGTTGTGGACGATCACGGGGCCATGTACCCGGAGCTCTACCGAAGGGCCCAGACCACGGCGCAGCAACTACAGCGGTTTCGCCGCAAGGTTTGTGCAGGCGACCAACTACCACTCAAGGTCCGCATCATCTTCGCGGACTCCCCCATCATGGGCTCCAGATGCTACTCAGCGGGCAGCTGGGACCCGCTCTCGGCAGCAGAGCACAACTACGCGCACGGAATGGTGATGTCGGTGTACAGGGCGGCCACTCGCAGCTCCCCAGTCAAGCGCAGCCAAGAGGAGGATGCTGAGCTCGAGAAAGTTCTGGGCGCCGAGGACGACCATGTGTTCGCGAAGATAGGGCGAGCTCGGCCAGCCGACCTATTTCGAGTAGCGAGGCTGCGCCTCTTCGGCGAACTGCTGCAGTCAGGCCCCGTACCAGTTTTCGGGCTGATGGCCAAGCTGCTGTTGCTGCCAGCGCCACCGCAGCGCAGCAACTGGCCCAAGAAACTCATCACCGACTTGGTATGGGCGCAGCAGTACACCCAGTTCCTCAAGGGCCTCCCGGACCCAGGCGAGGACATCCGACCATGGGAACAGCGCATCAGCGCCTCACACACCAGCTGGAAGTACCAGTTGGGCGAGGGCCTCAAGGCAGCAGAGGAGGACCTCGGCAGGCGCACTATGGCAGCAGCGGCAGCCAGGCGCTTCTTCGCAGAGGCGCAAACGGCAGGAGTACCATGGTCGAGCAGGCCAGGCAGCCCACGTGGACCGCCACAGCCAGTGCAGCAGCGCCAGGTCGACGGCAAGTGGCCATGCCCCTGGTGCGCGACAAGCTTCACGCGACAGAGAGGGCTCCGAGGGCACATTGCACGCAATCACTGGACAATGACGGCCCTAGCTAAACAATTGATGCGAGGAGCCAGCCAGTGCCAGATCTGCATGATGCAATTCCAGCGTGCACGCGATCCGCTGGAGCACCTCGCAGTCGCATCGCCCACCTGCCCTCTGCTCACCATCGCGGGCAGCATACCCGCAGCCGCCGACAACAACAAGTGGCCGACCCACCTCTGCCCAAAGGGGGGTTCCGCAAGAGAGTGGGCACTCCAGCAGTGCGAGCAGCAGGCCCAGCCACAGAGGAGACGGACACATGGAGGTCCAGGCTCCACCAATGTCAGGCCAAGCAGATCCTCTTGGAGTGCGACTGCGCCTTGGACGACGAGGCCAGGACCATGCTGCAGGCCCCCGCCCTCCACGGGGCGCCAGGCCTCGGGTAGGATCCAGAGCCCCGTTGGAGCGCTACACGCTGGACCAGTTCAGGACAAACGACTACAAGGGCGTCGCCGCCGTAGCCGTGCCTTGGCGCATCAGGCGGGCGGAAGTCTTCATCCTGAACCTGTGCAGTGGAGTACGAAGGCGAGGAGACATCCAGGATTGCCTTTCCAGTGCCACGGCGTGCGAGGAGGTCAGGGCAGTCGTGGCAGTCACAGTGCTGAGCATCGACGTGGCGATCGACGTGGAGCGCTGCGACCTGATGAAGTCCAAGAGCCTGGGCACGTTCAACGACGCGATCTACTCGAGGCAGGTCATTTTGAGCGGCGGCGGGCCACTCTGCGAGACGTGGAGTGCAGCTCGATGGTCAGACCTGCCTGGCCCGCCGCCGCTCCGTACCCATGGCGAGTACTGGGGCATCAAAACAGCCACGAACCGCCAGCGGCTGCCGCTCATGGTTGGCAACGCGCTGCTGCAGGCGATGGTGCTGTTGATGGGCGCGCACCTGCGAGTGGAATCGGCGGCCTGGATGGAGCACCCCATCCCGGCGCACTGGCGGCGAGAGGCGGTCGCGAGCTGGACATGGAAACCGCTCTTCGTGCTCCAGAGCTGCCCGGTCGTGACCACCACCGACTTCGACCAGTGCGAGCGCGGGGGCGAGGTCGGGCGCGCGCCGACGCGCATCGTCGGCCTCCGAGTGAGAGGCCTGCGCGCTCGCCTCACGGCGACGCCTGGGCGCGGGCGCTGCTCGCGCGGGCGAGGAACTCACACCGCCCTCCTCGGGGAAAAAAGAGGAGGGCGTTTTCCGCGCGGCGGCCGAGAAGGTCTACCCTACGGGCCTTTGCAAGGCCTCGGCAAACGCCATGATCGACACGGTGTCAGAATTCGTGTCCGCCGAGCTCGGCTCCCCCGAGCTGGAAGGAGAAGGGTGTCCAGAGGGTTAACGGTCTCAGGGATTTTTCGTGGGGTCGGTTCCGGAAAAGGGGAGGACCAGGAGTGGGCCCCGGACTTCTGTCGGCGCGCCTGGAGGTCTCGGCCCGATTCCGAGCGTCATCGGTTTCGTCGACCTGAGGTCCGTGCCGAGGCCAGCCCGAGCCCCCCTCCGGGGAGCCCTACAGTATGGGCCCGTGTCCGACCCCCGACCCCTTGGATGACTTCACCCAAGAGGACACCTTCGCCGCCGCTGTAGGCCTCGAGTCTCCCTCGTCCCTTTTCTCTGTGCCTCCGCCTCCTCTCCCTGCCCCTCCCGCTCCCCTGACCGAGCAGCAGCGCGAGCGCATTGCGAGGAACCGAGACGACGCGATCTGGAGGAGGCACTTCAGGAGGGCCCCGTGGATCGCGCAGTCCGACGTCCGGTTCAACTTCTAATGTCCCCAAAATGGGACGAGGAGTATCTTTCGGGCCCCCTTCACAAGGTGAGGGCGCCCTCTGCCACGACGCAGGGGTGCGTCGCGGTCTGACTTTCGGCATGCGTATCGGCGTTCAAGCCTGTGCCCACCACCACCACCACCACCACCTCCTCCTCTCTACTCCTCCCTCCTCCTTGCTCCTTCCCTCCCTCCTGGTCAGCAGCTCTTTCGCAGGCTCATCCAGAGATTCGTCGGCTCGGAAATCACGGTTTCCAGCATGATCGTACCAGGAAGTGTTGGAACCTCAGAATGGATCGCCCTCACGGTCGATTTTTTGTTGGGCGGCAATTGGCGACCCTTCTGCAGGCTACGAAGCACTACGCAGCCCAGCACATTCTTCGCTTTGTCTGTCGCTGGTGGCAACGCGTGCCAAAGCCGCTATTACGTACCGCTATGGCTGATTCTAGCACCTGCAAGCGCAACATCGTATATCGAAAGCAGACACATGCGTATTTGTGCTCCCTCGATGTGGCGCGTGGGCTATGGGGAGAAGAGCGACACACCGCATGTGTTCACACATCTTGTTGTGTGTGTGTTTATGTTTGTTTATACAGTATATATGTATTCATGTGTGTATATTTACACACACATTTGCGCGTGTTTATATGCACACATAGTTGCACACTTGTGAATTTGTAGATACGCATGGCTACACATGTATATGTATATGTATATGTATATCTTATATGCGTGTTTATACATATATATATATGGTGGATCCATGTCTTTCCTGCTCGTCTGCCCCCCCCATCGAGAGGCGGCGAAGCGCATGACGAGGTTGAGTTGCGCTGTCCTGAAGAGGTCGCCGCCTCTGTCTCTGGCGTCTTAATTGCTTGCGCGTGCGCTTGGTCGATCTGCACGTCTGGGCTTTGCATCCCGCCGCGACCCATAATAGTCCAGCCCACCTTGTTTCGAAGAAGGAAGCTCGGGACAGGCATGAACTTTCGGAGGTCCGCGCGATCTGCGTTGGGCCCAAGCTCTGCGCGGACCTCCGACAGTTTGTGTGTTCATGCCAACAAGGTCGTGACAGCGACGGCCAAGGCAAGGGGAAAGGCGGTGGCAGGCACGGGAAGGGCAAGCGTCACGCCGATCCTACTTGGCCTGCGAGTGATCCGCCCCGGGTATGCGGCCTCTAACGGTGCCGGTTCCCGTAAGCCTGGCTCTGACCTTCCCTGGCGCTTGCCCCAGGGCCAAGTCAACCTTGACAGCGTGATCCGCGCATCACGCGACAGCAGCGACATCCGACCGCACAGTCGCCCCCATCCGTACCTGGCTCAGCCTCTGCGCCGCAACGCCAGCTCGGTGCCTGCCCAGGCACGGGCACCTGGTACCTGATGGGCCTCATCTCTCCCTTCCTCATCTGGCTGCGCGCTGTCTGCCCGGGCGGTGCGCAGCCCTGATTTCACAAGTCGTTGCACCGCTCACATGCGTTCTCATCTCCGTTTCTCCCCCCCCCTCCCTTGCGGCCCCCGTTGCCTCCCCTGGCGCGCCTCCGCCGCCTCGCATGGCGCGCCTCCGCCGCCTCGCATGGCGCGCCAACCGCCCCTCGCGTGCCACCTAGGCCCCGCTGGCCCTGGCACCGCGCCGCCTTGGCGCACGTGCCCGTTTCCGGGCACCTGCACAGGCTCTTCGGCTTCAGTTTTGCCGCCCCCCGCAGCAATCACCACTTGGTCGCTGTATCGGCGGGTGCCTCCCAGTGCCCAGCTGGGCCGCCGCTCGCGCCGCCTCGCGGGCTGCTGCCGTCCCACACGTCGGGTGCCACCCGCGGGCGGGGCGCTCCTCTTCTCCCTTTCAGCTGCCCTTCTCTCCTTCTTCTTCCCTCTCTCGCCTCGCGCCGCCATGGCGCCGCCGCGCTGCCTTGCCCCCGGCTTGCAGCTCAACATCCCCCTGGTGCTGCTGGCGCTGCTGGTGCTGCGCCCAGTCCCTGACGCGGCTGCTGCGCGAGTGCGGTAGGCACCGCACGGTTGAAGCACCTGGCGGGTACAGCATTTTGCTGATGGCAGTCCTCGGGCTTCGGCATTGGTTCTACTTGCTCTTCACCGTCATTGCACCCTGGCAGCGCCTGCGGGTGCGCCCTGGCACTGGCTCTGGCTGCTGCCGCGACCCCGCTGCCCTGGTTGGCCGCTCCGGCCCGCTCGCCGCGGAATTCTTCCGCGTCTGAGCGTCTTCCTCCTTCTCCCCCCGCGAGGCCGCCCTCTTCTACTACCTCATTCTCTTGCACGCCAGAAAATTTGCTTATCGGTGCCCCCGATTAGCCCTTCGTCGCCTCCGCCTCGCCGCCGACGAAAAAAAGGTGTTCATGCTAACCCAGAACGCGGACGACGGATTTTTGTCACAACGTGACCCCCCAGTGGTCTGGAACCCTTCCCCAGGCACAGTTTCTCGCTCCGACTTGTGTTTTGACGGTCCCGGGGCCCAGTGATGGCCCCTGGAGGCCGACAGCCGTCCGTCGTGATTTTTTCGCGATGAGAAGAGAAAGGGGGGGGGGAGACTGTCTAATTCAAACCCTTCCCTTGTGTGCTGGCAAGTATGCGCGCCGTCCCGTCTTGCCCAGTGGACGGCAAGCCGCCGCTTGGGCCACGGTCGACCAGTCGGGGCCCCAGACGTTTCGCCTCCCAGGCCGTCCAGGGAAACCCACTGCTGGAAGACGCCTCCGCCGCTCCCCCGAGGTTGCGAGGCCCGAGCGCGCCCAGAAGACCCAGGCCCAGAGACCCTGAGGGCCGAGGAGGCCCAGAGGGCTCGGAAGGGCTGGAAGGGCCGGAAACTAGAAGGCCTGGAGGGCCGAGGCCTCCCGTCCCGTCGTCGACGGCGGCCGCGGCGATGATGCCCACGAGTCTTCGCTGGCGGCGACGCGGCGGCGACGGCGGCGGCGACGGCGGCGACGGTGACGGCGACGACGAGGCCCACCAGCCCTCGCTGGGGGCCCGGGCGCAACGCTGCGCGGCGCCGTGTGGGGTGCCGGGCAGGTCGGCGGCCGCGCCCGTTTCTCGCGACCGTACCCGTGGGTGGACCTGGTTGCGCGCGCGGCGCACGCCCTGGCGCTGCGCCCGCTAGCCGCCAGCTCAGGCGCACGGCCCCGCTCTGTCCAGGCCTCCTACATGGGGCCTCTCACCTGAGGCCGAAGGATCGCGCCGCATCGCCGATGCATCGGCGAAGCGGCCCGATGCGGAGCCCGATTTTTTCCCCACGCCGACGGCGCCGGTGCATCGCTGACGTTGCCGATGATGCGGCGCGATCTTCTGACCTCATCTACTCGGGCTCCATTTGGGAGTCCTCTACTTTCTCTGGCTTGCAGCTTGATTTCCTTCAGTCAAGTCTGATTGTCTGTCCGGCCCCGAAGAAGACCTGGATTGGAGGCGTTCTTATCCGACCTTTCGAGCTCATATGCGGAAAACGCGTGTTTTCGTCCTGACACCGCGCTTCGTTTCTAAATGCGCCCGAGTATTTGGCGGGGTTCCGCCCGACCTCCCTCGTGATCTGGCCTGGCCCCTGCCTGAAGATACTGACGTGAAGAAGTGCATTGGACTCAACCATATTAGTGTCTCGTTTTTTGTTCCGCCGCCTTCCGCTGGCCTTCTCCTCTCCAATTTTGGCCAGATGACCCGCTTCTGCTTTACTTCCGCTGGCTTCGACCGAGGGCGAAATGTGCAGAAGGCGAGGCCTTCTCTGGAACGCACAATCTGGATCCTCTACTGTGCCTCGAGTTTATGCTCTCGCTTATCGCCCTCTTAAGGATATCATGGCGATGTATTGTTGTTGGTGCGAGCGGCGCTGGCGCCGGCTGCGTTGACCGAACCAATGGACATGCTCCGGCGTGTGAGGTTTTGGCCGGCTTTTCGTGTGTGCCTTCCCTGAACAGGGCTTGCGTGTGCGTTCCACTGGCAATACCAGGAAAGCGTGCCTTGCCTCGTCGTGGTGCGGTGCTGTTCGTATACCAGAGGCCCTGGTTGGGTATCGCCTGATCCCCCTTGTGACGATGTCCTCCTCCCTCTGCGCAGAGACACTGGCACGAGTCTTTTTCGATCTTCAGCCTCGGGGGGGCTCCACGTCGCCGCTGCTGGATTTAGCTCGAACCAGCGGTCGGGGTGGCTCGGAGGGCGCCAGCTGTGCACCTACACCGATCCTGGCCAGGCCCATCCTGGCCCCAGGGTCGGTGCATGTGTGTAATTAGTTGGTGCCCTTCGAATTTGATGGTCAAGGAGATGTCCGGGTGGTAGTGTCGGAGGGGGCTCGGGGTGTGTTGGCAGGGGCAGGATGGATCGCGAGGACGGCTCGCCAAACGTCCCCGTGCCTGCGGCTCCGGGGCGGCCCCCCTCGGTCGTGCAGGCTCCAGTCCTGAGTGGGAGCCGTCCGAGGACGAGGCCCTTCAGGTCGAGGCTTCTCGTGCCCGTTGTCGCCAGCACGCCTCCCCTCGCGCCGCTCTGGTACGCATGGTGTACACTCGTGTGTCTGTCAAGCGCACCGAAGCCCTGCCTCGTCTCGCCTAATCGTTCGGTAGTCGGAGCGTGGGCTCCACCCGCTTGCCTGGCTGTGCCCTGAGCCGTGCTGCCGATGCGAGTGTGCCGAGGCCGTCCTTCCTCTCGTCACCCTGCCACCACCGTTCATCTTTCCATACCTTTGCCAGGTATCGCTCGCTCCCCCCTCTTTCCCATCGGCACTTATTCGTGTCCTGAGTCTCGCTTCTGTCTGTTTCGGCGTCGGCCCTTCGTTCTCATGGTGTACTCAACGCTCTCAGCATGTGCTCTCTCGTTCAGAGTTAGGCACAGGACGCGTTGTCGGCGGGATGGTGGACTCAGGCAGGGAGTGGCGCAGAGAGGCGCAGGAGCGGAAGTGGACTTGGGAGCTCGGGGCAGGGAAGATTGTCGCTGGCGGTGGTGATGCGAGCAAGATGGACACATAATTTCTCGCCCGTCGCATTCGCGACGCGAGGAGACGGGGGAGCGTGTCTGTCCTTTCTGTTCTCTCGCGCTCCCCCAGACTGTGAGGGCATGGATGTGGATGTGCTCGTCGCTCGTGGCCGCAGCCCGCGCGCAGTGTGTCTGGCCATCCCCGCAGGTCCTGGAGAGGGCCGAGCCACGCCTGCGGGCCCTGTCGGAGGGGCCCGGCGAGTTCTTGGCGGGCTGCCCGCCGCGGGACGGGGCTGTCGACGGTGCTGCAATGGCCCGTGCGCCGCCCTGCAAATGCCAGCACGTCTGCATCCTGATTGCATTCTCGTCAGGTTCGATGCTCCTCAAGACGCGTGTCCGCCCGATGTTGTACTTGTGCGCCCCGTGCAGCTCCACCGATGCCGTGCAGCCTGTGCCGTCCCTCGTTACCTCGCCCGCGACGTGTTCAGGGGCTTCGGTAGACAAGTACACGTCGGTGCTGACACACGTTCCCGGGAAGATCGACTAGCATTTGAGCCCTGAAGCTTGCGATGTTGAGCAATTATTGACGACGCCTGGTTACGGCGAGTCACCGCCGCCCCCTGCTTTTTGGAGACACCGATGTGGCGAAACGTTTGGCCGCCCGCGTTTGGCCGCCCGCCAGGTGAGAGCCCGCGCCGGGCGGCCCAGCCGGGCGCGCCGCTCGACCGTGGGTGCGCGTCAAGCGGCTGGAAGACGAAGAATAATACAATACTCATAAGACTAAGTACTCGACGCGGAGATCCCCATGGGTGCATCTCATAGTGATGTTCAACTTCGGTAGAAGACATTGTCCTTTTTGAATATCTGATTGTCAGCCAATCCACGTGGAAAACGAGGCCGAGAGAGACGCCGACGACTACGACGACTTTAAGTAGTTGCTTCCTCCTTCCGTCCTCCTCCTCCTTGTCCTCCTGCTCTTTCTTTTCCTTTCCTAACGAACACCTGTTAGGAAAAGCCATCTGTGAAGACGAGAACGGGCTCGTGCAATACCCCCTGGCGCCCCCTCTTGGGAGTGCTGAAATCAGCGCCTCGCCTGAGACATCCTCGGAGACTGCTCCGAAAGAGAAGGGTGTTGAGCACCGAAACAGGCACACCGTCTGAGACATCCCCCCAATCTGGGCGCCAACGGGCCTGTGATGCACCCCCTGGCGTTGGGAGTACTGCAACCAGCGCCTCGCCTGAGACATCTTCGGAAACTGCTCCGAAAGAGAAGGATGTTGGGCACTCAAACGGGCAAACCGCCTGAGACATCCCCCCATTCTGGGCGCGAACGGGCCTGTGATATCTATACGACCACCCTTCGAATGATAAGGAGGTTGTGGTGGGGGAAAGGGGGGGAAACCAACATCTGACTCAATCGATCTCACTATCGATCTCCTTCAACGGGACACCACGGGACACCACGGGACACAACGGGACACTTGTCGATCTCAGTATCGATCTCACTCAACGGGCCACCACGGGCCACCACGGGGCACCACATGACACCGCGGGACACCTCTCGATCTTACTATCGATCTCATTATCGATCTCACTT